GCCTACACACACATTATACGTATGCCCATAACCACATCTTTAGTCATAATAGTTGTTCATAATCAATTACAACATCGCCAATTAACCTCATGTTAACAAAAATCTCGTTTCAAACCTTCGCCTTACTAACAACGAGACACGAGGCATGAACACGCCATAATTATTTACCCGAGTTAACGAGTCACATTTTACGCCTCCTGGGCACTTACCTCGTAGGCTAACACTCAATATTTACAGCACAAATATGGCTAAATATGCATAGAAAATACATACAAAATAACCGAATAAGCCTAACAGGCATGACTCCTTATTAATACTATAGTACAAATTTAAATTTCACAAAGGAAGAATTTAAACACATAAAGTTTTCACCACAAGGACCTCACCCTTATATAACTTCCACTACGGCTTGTAGTCTGGTTTAAATATTTCACATCATACAAAATACGAGGATCTCGTCCTCATCTCTGAATCATAGGTATTTTGCATAGTGTGCCAACTGAAATTTTCCATTCCCTTTCTTTCTTCTTTTTAATAAATTCCGTAAACAGTTTTCACAACACATAATGAACCCACATACCAATTGGGCATATAATTCATAAAGTGTTTTGAAAAGCGAGCGCTTCGTCGCTTTAAGCGAGAAGCGAGGCGAAGCGAGAAGCTGTCGCTTTTTCCTTACCGAGGCGACACGACCAGCAGAAGCGATCGCTTCAGCCAAGAAAGCGAGAAGCGATCCAGAAGCGAAAAGCGCAGAAGCGAGCGCTTCTGCCCAAAGGGGTCATTTTGAAAAAAAAAAAAGTTTGGGTCTTTGTTTTTGTTATACAAAACAGACCCAAAGTGAAAAGACCTTTCTTTGTCTTGCCAAAAATTGAACGTTAGCAGCAGTAGCAGCCAACTAGGGTTCCAGCCTCCAGGTAATTTTTCTTCTTTCTTCTTTCTTCTTCTTCTTCTTCTTCTTCTTCTTCTTCTCTTTTTTAGTTTTTCTCGTCCAGTGTCTGTGCTAGGGCAGGCGTTGGTTCCCCCCCAATCCTCTTTATTCTTCTTATTTATTAATTTTAATATGTATTTTAGTTTGTAAAATTAATTATTATATATATGTTATATATATATATATGATATGTTTTATTTTCAGTTTATTTGAATTTTTTAATGTGTATTTTTGTTTATAAAATTAATTATTATATATATGTTATATTTTCAGTTTATTTGATTAATTTTATATGTATTTTCAGTTTATTTGATTATGTATTTTCTTATATTAATAGGGATTTAAAAATGTCCCAAAGTTTTTAAATTGAATTTTTTTATTATTTATATTGTGTCTTTGCAAGGTTTCCATTATGTTTTTTAAAAATTGCGCTTCACTTCAATGAAGCGTGCGCTTCGCTTTTGAAGCGAGGCAAGGCAATGTCGCTTTTTTGCGCTTCTCGCTCTCAAAAACACTGAGACAAGACAAGATTTACGTGGTTCGACAATTTTTGCCTACTCGACGGCCACACAAATAATAATTCTTTATTAATTGAAGAGAAAGAAAAAGTTAAGGGATGATCTGCAAATGAAAATGCATACCCCCTTTTATAGGCATTTGAATGCCGTGCCGACGTAAGCGCTTACATCATAAGAATGCCGATGTAAGCGCTTACATCATAAAAATGCCGGCGTAAGCGCTTATATCATATTTTCATCTTTTTTTGACTTTTCTTTCTTTTGTTTTATATACTTTTATAACTTTTGTCTTTATTTTATTTCTTTTACAGCTGGGTTTGTTCCTTTCAATCTCCCCCTCAAACCCATATACATCAAGAAAGAAAATTAAAAAAAAGATTTGCTATTCTCTAGTGTGTGGATTACTCTCACAGCTCTAATACTTCTCTCTTATTTTTGGTGTATTTGAGATGAAACTGAATGGCTCTATTTATAAGGGAAGGACTCGTCCAATTCAGCCAATCAAATTTGACTTTTGCAATTGCAAAATGCAAATTGCTCACAGGCGCCCACAATTGCTTGACATTGCATTCCTTGTCCCCCTACAATGCTTGACCTTTAATTTCAACTTGCATTCCTTTTGCTTTTCCTTTTCTAAATCGTTTTCTCTTTCTTTTCTTTATACTTTTTTTATTTAAATAGGTCCCACAAATTTCCCCCTTAATTTTGATTTTTCTTCTTCATTCTAAGATTTGATCTCACTCTCTGGAAATTTTCAAACTTGAGAGGTTTGGTAAAAATATCTGCAACTTGATCATGAGACTTCACATATTTGAGATCGACTTCCTTCTTGGCAATGCATTCTCTGATGAAGTGATACCTTGTATCTATATGCTTGCTTCGATCATGATACACCGGATTCTTGGCAAGTGCCTGTGCGGATTTGTTGTCAATACAAATCTCCGTAGCTTCAATTTGTGGCGAATTGTGCTCCTTTAATAATCTATTCAGCCAAATAGCATGACAGGTACTTGACGTTGCTGCTACATATTCGGCTTCACAGGTCGAGAGAGTAACAATGGATTGTTTTTTTGAACTCCAAGAAATAACAGAATCACCCAAGAAAAACACAAAACCAGTTGTGCTTTTTCTATCATCAATATCTCCCGCATAATCACTATCACAATATCCCATAAGGTTGAAATCATTAGAAGAAAAATAAAATAACCCAAAGTCGATCGCACCTTTTAGGTAACGAAGAATTCATCTAGTGACTTTCAAATGAGTGGAGGTAGGAGTTTCCATGAAGCGGCTTACTACTCCAACCGCAAAGAGTATATCTGGCCCGGTACAAGTCAAGTACCTCAAACTTCCCACAAGGCTTTTAAAAAATATGGGATCCACTTTTTCTCCTTAATCAAACTTGGACAATTTTGTCCCACTCTCCATCGGTGTGTTTACGGGGTTGCAATCGAGCATGTTTAACTTATTCAATATCTCTTTTGTATAGCTTTCTTGAGAGATAAAAATTCCATCCTCCATCTGCTTCACTTCTAGGCCCAGGTAGTATGACATGAGCCCTACGTCTGTCATCTCGAACTCACGGGACATATCTTTCTTAAAAACTTCAAATAAACTTGGGTTATTACCCGTGAAAATAAGATCATCAACATAAAGACAAACAAGTAATATATCTCCATTAATATGAACTTTAAGGTAAAGAGCATATTCATGGAGACAATGAGTAAACCCATTGTCTTGAAAATACTTGTCGATGTAACTATTCCATGCTCGTGGGGCTTGCTTTAATCCATATAAAGCTTTCTTCAACCGCAACACTTTATCTTCATGGTTTTTGACCACAAAGCCCAATGGTTGTTCAACATAGACTTCTTCTTCAAGATAGCCATTCAAAAAGGTTGACTTGACGTCTAGTTGATGGATCTTCCACTTCATTTTCGCCGCCAAAGAGATGAGCAAACGGATCGTCTCTATGCGGGCAACAAGTGCATAGACTTCTTCATAGTCAATGCTGTGCCTTTGTTTCTAGCCTTTAGCCACAAGTCGTGTCTTGTATCTCTCCACATCGCCATCAACATTCTTCTTTGTCTTGTATACCCATTTTACTCCAATTGCTCGATGACCCTCGGGAAGAGTTGTTAACTCCCAAGTGTTGTTCTTCTCTATTGACTCAATCTCCTCCTCTATGGCTTGTCTCCACCTTTTGTCTGTAACAGCTTCATCAAAGTTCATTGGTTCACTGTCAGCAAAGAGACAATATAAAAAATCAAAATTAATAACTTCTTCTGTGTTCCCATAGAGCTATTGAATAATCCTTGTCCTTTGCGGTTGTTCATTTGAACTTTCTTGAGAAGAGGGAGATGCAACATTTGTTGGAGAAGGAGGTGGAGTTGTATCCTGCACAGGTTCCACGGTCTCTGCTTCTTCTTCATCACCAAAGTATGGAAGAAAATCATATAAAATTTCTTCCTGAGCTTCCCAATTCCATGCCAATTCTTCATCAAATTCAACATCGTGACTTACCGCCACCTTGCTGCTACTTGGGTTGTAGAGCTTGTAGCCTTTTGAACTCGTATCATAGCCAACAAACACATGCTTGACACTTCGATCGTCAAGCTTCGCTCTCCTTGATGTGGCACATGAGCATAGGCTATGCTCCCAAAGATTCTCAAGTGCTTGACACTTGGCTTTCTTCCACTCCATGCTTCTTGAGGGGTTTGATCTCTAACATTCCTTATTGGAGACCCGTTGTTCATATAAACTGCACAAGAAACAACTTCGGCCCAAAATTCCTTGGGCATGCTTTTAGCTTTCAACATACATCTAGCCATATTAAGAATCGTTCAATTCTCTCTCTCTGCAACTCCATTTTGTTGGGGTGAATAAGGTACCGTTAGAGGGCGGCGAATTCCGTGAGACTGACAGAAGTCATTAAATTCTTTTGAAGTGAATTCGCCTCCTCTATCGGACCTTAAAGCTTTTATTTCATAGCCACTTTCTTTCTCCACAAGTACTTTGAAATTTTTAAAAGCAACAAAAGCTTCAGATTTTTGGTTCAAGAAATAAACACAAGTCTTTCTACTAAAGTCATCAATGAAGAGAAGAAAGTATTTACTTTTACCAAAGAAAGGTGGATTGATTGGCCCACACACATTAGTGTGAACAAGTTGGAGTGGAATGGTTGCTCTTGACATGGACTCCTTCGGAAAACTCCTCCTTGCATGTTTTCCAAGAAGACAAGCTTCACACAATTGATTGGGATGGTTGATTGATGGTATACCATGCACCGTGTTCTTTTCTCCCATTGATTTGAGCGCTGCAAAATTCAAGTGCCCAAATAGCATGTGCCAACACCATGATTCATCTTGCACATTAGCCTTCAAATACTTTGCATCAATTGTTTTAAGATTCAGAGAAAATAATCTATTCTTTGACATATGCACTTTAGCAATTAGAATTCCACTTGAATCTCTAAGCCAAAGATGCATATTTTTCATGTGGATGTCATATTCCTTTTCAAGAAGTTGGCCCAAACTCAAAATATTACTTTTTAATTTTGGGACATTCAAAATATTACTTTTTAATTTTGGGACTTAATAAATATCTTGAATTAACTTGTGGTCACCATTTTTACAGGAGATCAGAATCGTACCTATCCCTTCGATTTGAATCTTTGAGGTATCTCTAAATGACACATTACCTCTCACCGTTTTATTGATCTCCACAAACTTCTCTTTGCATCCACACATATGATTGCTTTCCATTGTCCAAATACCACGAGCTACAATCATCCTTGTCTACTTTCTTGAGTGCCAGCAACAACGTTGACTCATCTTCTTCTTTCTTGTCGTTAACAAGGTTAGCTTTTTCTTCAACATTGCTACGACATTCCCAAGAGTAATGACCAAATTTATGACAATTATAACATTCGATTTTTGATTTGTCATACCTTTGTCCATTATTTTCTTGGTAGCAGCCACGTCCTCTTCCTCCTCTTTGTCCACGGCCACGACCTCTGAATGTTTGGTGGATTTTAACTTCATTGTTGAAGTTGTTACCATTACTTGTTCCTCTTTCATGACCGCTATGGCCTCGTCCTCGCCAATTCCCTCGTTAGCTCTTTTCACCTCCATAATCCTTAAAGTATGCCTGAGTTTTAAGAAGTTGCTCCAATGACACTTCTTGTCTCCTCTTGATATTTTCTTCGTGGGCTTGTAAAGAACCCTCCAATTGCTCTACTATCATAGAGTCTAAATCTTTCGACTCTTCAATAGCACACACCACAAAATCGAATTTAGGTGTTAAAGTGCGAAAGATCTTTTCTTCCACACAGACATCTTCTATGTCCTCCCCGTATCTTCTCAATTGATTTACAATGGCCTTCACTTTTGAACAATAATCCGAAATACATTCAGATTCTTTCATTTTTAAAACTTCAAAATCAGTCCTTAGAGTTTGAGATTTTACATTCCTCACCTTGTCAACTCCTTGAAGAAAATTTTATAAAATCTCCCAAGCTTCCTTTGAGGTGGTAGCATCTGCCACCTTCTCAAACATGACATCATCCAAACATTGGTGGATGAGTGTGAGGGCTTGTTGATCCTTCTTCCTTGTCTTTGTCAAGATCTCTTTCTCATTTTGAGACAGAGTTTCCTCATTATCGGATTTTGCATACCCACTATCTACGATTTCCCACACATCATGGGAGCCAAGAATGGCTTTCATACGTATACACCATTTCTCATAATTATCTTTTGTGAGACGGGGGTACTGAAAAGACAACGGACCATTATTCGCCATGACTCTGATACCACGTTATTGAGAAAATAATATCCCGCCCATGAATAATATCCACGATAAATAATAATGACACAAGAGAGTAACAATGGCACCAAATCTTTTAACGGGGTAAAATACAATACCCGAAAGGAGCAATATAATACCATTATAATATTACAACTTTGTAGTGTCAAAAGGCTACTACGACTCAAAGGAAATAACACTATTTAAAAAGGTGGAGACAAGCCAATGAACTTTGATAAAGCTATTACAGACAAAAGTTGGAGACAAGCCATGAAGGAGGAGACCTTTCTTAAAAGCTTCAAACAAACTTGGGTTATTACAGTGAAAATAAGATCATCAATATAAAGACAAACAAACAAGATATCTTCATTAGTATGAACTTTAAGGTAAAGAGCATATTCTTGGAGACAATGAGTAACCCATTTCTTGAAAATACTTGTCGATGCAACTATTCCATACAATAGAAGGGAAAAAATATTTAAAAGAGAAAAGCAATAAATTGCACAAGACAAGAGAAGATTTACGTGATTCGACAATTTTTGCCTACTCCACGGCCACACAAAGAATAGCTCTTTATTAATTGAAAAGAAAAAGAACAAGTTAAGGGATGATCTGCAAATGAAAATGCATACCCTTTTTATAGGCATTTGAATGCCTGCCGACGTAAGCGCTTACATCATATTTTCATCTCTTTTTGACTTTTCTTTCTTTTGTTTTGTCTACTTTTCTTTCTTTCACATACAACAAGTTTGCTCCTATCAATCTCCCCCTCAAACCTATGTTACATCAAGAAAGAAATAAAAAAAAAAGATTTGCTATTCTCTTGTGGCGCCTTCACGCTATCAGTCTTGAAGGCTAACTGAGGTAGTGCACAGCCTCAGTTTGTCAACACCGACAACTTTGGTCAACATGTCTGACGGGTTCTATAATCTTGGTATCTTCTGCCTCAACTGGATCAGTGTTATCAAAGGCGAAAAGAGCAAAAAGATTTCTAAGGTCCGTTGGGGCTTTAAGCGCAAAGCGCAAAGCGCAAATAAAGTGTGGGCTTTAATGAAAAAAGGCGCAATTGGAGAAAAAATAAAAATATGTATATGTAGTCCAATACTAATAATTATAAGCATGAATAACAAATATATGGACAAAGAAATTGGAAAAAATTTATGAGAAAGTGAAATATCAATTTTTTAATGTCGCCTTTTCAGGATTACACGCATTGGCGATGAAAAGTATGCCTTAGAGCCTTGATGCGACACTAAAGCGCACAAGGCTAAGGTCCGTTGGGGCTTTAAGCGCAAAGCGCAAATAAAGTGTGGGCTTTAATGAAAAAAGGCGCAACTGGAGAAAAAATATAAATATGTATATGTAGTCCAATACTAACAATTTTAAGCATGAATAACAAATATATGGACAAAAAAATTGGAAAACATTTACGAGAAAGTGAAATATTAATTTTTTAATGTCTTCTTTTCAGGATTACACTCATTGGCAATGAAAAGTATGCCTTAGAGCCTTGATGCGACACTTAAGCGCACACAAAGCGAGGCAAAGCGCTCAACATGTTTTGAGCCTCGCTTCAGGGGCTTAAGCGCGCCTTTGATAACACTGAACTGGATATGCTTCGATCTTGCATGAAACACTGGATTCTTGGCAAGATGAATTGCACTCTTGCTATCGCTGAAAAGCTCACAATTGTCCTGCTCTTTACCTAGCTCTTTAAGCAATTTTTTGACCCAAATCATCTCTTTTCCAGCTTATGAGATTGCCATGTACTCTGCTTCAGTGGTAGATAGAGCAACACTTTTCTGAAGTCTGGACCTCCAGCTAACAGCAGTACCACCCAAGGTGAACACGTAGCCTGTGGTACTTTTTGACTATCTAGATCGCCGCCTAAATTTGCATCAACAAAACCTTGTAAGATAATATTGTTCTTTTTAAAACAAAGTGTCATACCTGAAGTGCCTTTGAGATATCGCAATATCCATTTTACACCTTCCCAATGCTCCTTTCCTGGATCTGACATGTATCTACTAACAACTCCAACTGCACGGGCTATGTCAGGTCTAGTGCGAACCATAGCATACATCAAACTTCCTACTGCTGAAGCATATGGAACTTTGGACATGTACTTCCTTTCTTCATCTGTCTAAGGTGATTGGTTCTTCGACAGATTAAGATGGCTTCCGAGTAGAGTGCTTCTGGTCTTTACATCATGAAGACTGAATCTACTTAATACCTTCTGTATGTACTTTTCTTGAGACAATTTTAAGATTCCTTCAGACATGTTTCTGTTAATCCTCATCCCAAGCATTTGCTTAGCTGGTCCTAAGTCTTTCATTTCAAACTCCTCCGCTAGTTGTTGCTTAACCAAGCTAATCTCATTTATGCTAGATCCTACAATTAGCATATCATCAATGTACAACAGTAAAATGATATAGGATTCATCAAGATTTTTGATATAACAACAATGGTCCATCTTACATCGTGTGAAACCATTGTTATGCATGAATCCATCAAATTTCTTGTACCACTGTCCGGGAGCTTGTTTTAAACCATACAAACTCTTCTTCAACTTACACACAAGGTTTTCTTTACCAGAAACTTGAAAACCTTCAGGTTGCTTCATGTAGATGTCTTCTTCAAGGTCACCATGCAAGAAAGCAGTTTTAACATCTAGCTGCTCCAAATGCAAATTTTCTGCAGCTATGATACTTAGCACCAATTTGATAGTAGTTAATTTGACTACAGGAGAGAAGATCTCGGTGTAGTCAATTCCTTCCTTCAGTCTTCATGATGCAAAGACCAGAAGCACTCCACTCAGAAGCCATCTTAATCTGTCGAAGAATCAATCACCTAAGACAGATGAAGAAAGAAAGTACATGTCCAAAGTTTCATATGCTTCAGCAGTAGGAAGTTTGATGTATGCTATGGTTCGCATAGACCTGACATAGCCCATGCAGTTGGAGTTGTCAGTAGATACATGTCACATCCAGTAAAGGAGCATTTGGAAGGTGAAATGGATATTGCGATATCTCAAAGGCACCTCAGGTATGACACTTTGTTTTAAAAGGAGCAATATTATCTTACAAGGTTTTGCTGATGCAAATTTAGGTGGCGATTTTGATAGTCGAAAAAGTACCACAGGCTACGTGTTCACCTTGGGTGGTACTGCTGTTAGCTGGATATCCAGACTTCAGAAAAGTATTGCTCTATCTACCACTGAAGCAGAGTACACGGCAATCTTAGAAGCTGGAAAAGAGATGATTTGGCTCAAGAGTTTTCTTAAAGAGCAGGACAATTGTGAGCTTTTCAGCGATAGCCAGAGTGCAATTCATCTTGCCAAAAATCTAGTATTTCATGCAAGATCAAAGCACATCCAGTTGAGGTATCATCATATCCGAGAGTTGATAAGTGAAGGAACTCTTTCCCTGCAGAAGATACCAGGATCGAAGAACCCGTCAGACATGTTAACCAAAGTTGTCGATGTTGACAAACTGAGGCTGTGCACCGCCTCAGCTAGCCTTCAAGATTGATAATGTGAAGGCGCCACCAGAGAATAACATATCTTTTTTTTAATTATCTTTCTTGATGTATATGGGTTTGAGTGGGAGATTGAAAGGAACAAACCCAACTGTAAAAGAAATAAGACAAAAGCCGTAAAAGAAGATAAAGAGAAGAAAGAAAACGTGGAAAAACAAAAGCTATAAAAGAAGACAGAAAAAGGGAAGAAAGAAAACGTGGAAAAATGCGCAATTTGCGGTGCCGTCCTCTTCGTATTCACATTCGCTGAAAATTTTCTTTCAACAGACGTTCTGCCTATTAATAGACATCCCCTCCTTCAGTTGTAAATCATCCCTTACCTTTTTTTTTTTCAATTA